CTGGGCTCTGGCGATCCTTCCAAGTAGCTGGAATTACAGGCATGCGCTACCACGCCCAGCTGATTTTTTGATTTATTTTAGAGATGAGGTCTCGTTGCCCAGGCGGGCTCGAATCGTGGGCTCAGGCAATCCACTCACCTCAGCCTTCCAAAGGCGTGGGATTACAGGCTGAGCCACTGAGCCCGGCTCCAAGCAATCCTCTTGCCTCAGCCTCCCAAAGTGTTGAGATTACAGGCTTGAGTGACTGTGCCTAACCCTAATAATTTTTTAAAAGGATCAAATGACACTAGTAGGTACTCAGTAAATGTTTATTTTATTGGTTGGTTCTTTGTCTCTAGCTTGGGGTAAAATTTTCCCAAGTATTTACAAAGAAAAAGTATGACTCTATATGGTTTTTGGTGGCCTATATCTGACATTAAAGTCTGAGATCACCCTTGAACATTGATATCGAGATTCTTTTCTTTTATATATACTGCAGTGCCATAAAACTGCTGAAGGCATGAGCACCTGACTTCTTTTCCCTCCAACTGACCCAGGCATTTCCACATCTCTGTACAGGTCCCTGTCCTTCGAATGGTAGAAGGTGATACCATTTATGATTACTGCTGGTATTCTCTGATGTCTTCAGCCCAGCCGGACACCTCCTAGTAAGTAATATCCTTTGCATTCCCCCTACCCGCCACAGTTTCAAGTGGGCCCTCTTGAGAGAGTCATCAGCTTCCAGGAGTCTTAAAAGGAGGAAAGCTCAATGTGCTTTTCAAATGGGAGCTGAGAGGGCCAGTCAGTTGGCTTCCTCCCCTTCCTTTGACAGCACCAGGGTCTCAGTGTTCATGTCTCTCTCAGCGTGGCCAGCAGCAGCAAGGAGAACCCAATTCACATCTGGGATGCGTTCACTGGAGAGCTCCGGGCTTCCTTTCGTGCCTACAACCACTTGGTATGAACCTCCATGCCCAGCCCCAGTACTCATTCTGGCCTAGCTCTCCTTCTCTGAGGACAGCTGAAGCTTTGCAAGGCCTGTTTTCAGCCCTTTTCTTCTCCCAGGATGAGCTGACAGCAGCCCATTCACTCTGCTTTTCACCGGATGGATCCCAGCTCTTCTGTGGTTTCAACCGGACTGTGCGTGTCTTCTCCACGTCCCGGCCTGGCCGAGACTGCGAAGTCAGAGCCACTTTTGGTAAGTATCTGTGCTTCTAAGGAAGGAGGATAGAGACCTGCATGGGGGCCTGGTGTGAGTCTGGGAGCCATCTCTGGAGTTACGTGTCATTCTCAGTAGGGGTCTTAGAGGCAGATTGTGCCCAGTTGGCAGAGGAGAAAACAGAGTGGGGGGAACTTTCTCAAGGTCAACCAGCTGATCAAAGAACTGGTTCACTCCTACCTTGTCAACTTTTACCTGTTGGTCTCCATAATCTCTGTATCTCCAAAAGATTTGAGATGGGACTGGTTCCATTTTCCTGTTGGCCTTTAGTTCTTCATCTCTTCAAGGAAAACCTGGAATTTGAGAGGAGTGAGGTGGGACTTGGGCATGTAGGTCCTTGGGGGCATAGAAGGATCTGGAGAGCATCAGAGGTCTTCATTCTTCTTGTGACAAACAGGGTAGAGGGGATATTGAGTCTCAGCACATTGGTGCTGGGGCAAGAGACAGAGATGTACTTCTGCTTAGCCTGGTTAATTCCAGGTGCCATTGCTTTCTTCCCTGCTTTGTTCCTTCCCTCTGTAGCAAAAAAGCAGGGCCAGAGTGGCATCATCTCCTGCATAGCCTTCAGCTCAGCTCAGCCCCTTTATGCCTGTGGCTCCTATAGCTGCTCCCTGGGTCTGTATGCCTGCGATGATGGTTCACTTCTCACCTTGCTGGGAGGGCACCAAGGGGGCATCACCCACCTCTGCTTTCACCCTGATGGCAACCGCTTCTTCTCAGGAGCTCGCAAGGTAGGGGTCATATCCTAAGAGCCCAAAGCAGGTGGGCAGTAGGGCAGGAGTGGGAATATAGTCTGTGATATGTTGTGGGATGGAGGTGGGAAAAGAATCAACCCAAGCCAAAGGAGTGCCTGTAAACCTTGAGGGGGCAGGGACCTCCTGGGGTTGGGCACTGACTTTAGGCCCTGTTCTATGTCTTCAGGATGCTGAGCTTCTATGCTGGGATCTCCGGCAGCCTGGTTACCCACTGTGGTCCCTGAGTAGAGAAGTGACCACCAATCAACGCATCTACTTCGATGTGGACCCGTGAGTGGTCGTGGCTCCTTGCTGCCCAGGGCCTTGATGCCCCGAGGCATGCCAGAGCCCAGCCCCTGGGTGTGAGGATTCCTGTCCCAGGGGTAATGCCTCCATGTCTGTAAGTCTTTCCGTTTTCCCTCAGGACTGGGCAGTTCCTAGTGAGTGGCAGCACTAGTGGGGCCATCTCTGTGTGGGACACCAGTGGGGCTGATGATGGGAAGCCAGAGCCAGTGCTGAGTTTTCTGCCCCAGAAGGACTGCACCAATGGAGTGAGGTCCTCAGTTCAGTTCCATAGATACTGGGACGTGGGTTGGGGAGGAAGGTGAATCCCCGAGGGAGTAAGCATCCTTGCTTTGGGTGCTGACAGACCCTGCCCCATCTCTCCCTCCAGCCTACACCCCAGCCTGCCTCTGCTCGCCACTGCCTCTGGCCAGCGTGTGTTTCCAGAGCCCACAAACAGTGAGGATGAAGGGGAGCATGACCAGGACCTTCCCCTACTCTCCATGCGCCACACCCACCTTGAATGTCGCCTTCAGCTCTGGTGGTGTGGGGGGTGCCCAGACTCCAGTATCCCTGATGATCACCGGGGTGAGAAGGGACAAGGAGGAACAGAAGGAGGTGCGAATGAGCTCATATAAAAAGGTTTTATATGATACTAGAGTCTTCGTGTCTATTTGGGGAAGCAAATGACAGAGAAAGAAGCCGGGCAGGGGTACTAGTGTGTTCCCTTGTCCAGCAGCAGCGGGGACTAGCATATTGTTCCTGAAACCTGGGGTTGAGAGGTGGGACTAGGTGGGAGCCAATGGGGTGGCTGGGCTTGGTGTGAAGTCAAGTGGGTGGGGGTGGGGCTTCATGCCATTGACTGGTTGGTTGCTAGGCAACTTGGTAAACTGAAGGGGGGAACCTGTTTGAAATCTCACTCCCAAGGTGGGGGCAGTAGGGGTCAGGGTGAGCCAGCCTGAGCAGGAGTGGCAGGAGCCCTGTGTCAGACTGTTGGGTGTGACTGTGAGACTGTGCAGGCAGTGACAGACAAGACACCCGCTCGCTTGCACACCCAACACTATTTGCCATTATCCAGCAGCAGAGGGACCATTACTCAGCTCTGGGGGGAGCAGAGCACTCACCTCCCCTCCCCTGGACTCCCCCAGGAGGCAGACAACCCAGTTGCCAGAGTCAAGGACACACGTGAAAGAGTAAAGGTGTCGAAAAATACAGATGTCACATTCGGTATTGCCGTTAGATGCAGGACAAGGGCGAGGGTCTTATTCATTCAGCAGCTGTCGCCGGTCTCCTTGTTTCTCCATTTGTCTGCTGTCTTTGGGGGTGGGGGATGAGTGTGTTATTTGAAGCAGTGACTCCTCCCTCACCCCCTCCCTTCACACACCTTGCCAAACACCGAGAAAGGGGGACTTTGAAGAGATACTGTCAGCAGGGGATGTGATTTTGGACCTGCAATCAAAGGGAAGGGACAAAAGGCCTGTGGAGGCTGGAGAGGGGAGAGGAATGTCACCCCTGCCCAGAGGTGCTGAAAGGCAGGGTTCTTACACCCAAAAAGGCAACTCCTCCCTTCCCCCAGGATAATTGGAAACAGCCTTCCTGCAGAGTGTGGGTTTGGGGTCGTAGATACTCCCTCTCCTATCCCGGCCTTGCTTCTACCCCCAGCCGTCTAAGAAGGGCCCAAGTCTTCCCCCAATCGCTTGCCTTTCACCGAACCCCCAAATAACAGTAAATATTCCAGGGAGCTGTGATAAAAGAGACCCCAGTGGTGAGAGTTGGGCAGCCTAGGTTTGGTTTCTGGCTTTATCCCAGACTTCCTGTGTGACCTTGGGCAAGTCACGAGGCCTCCCAGAGCCTCAGTTTCTTCATCATCGCAATGGAATCCCTAGCTCTGCCCCTCCCACTGCACACAGGTAGTCGTGACGATCAGCTCAGCCGCACTTTGTAAAGTGCCAAGGCTTCAAGGTTATTATTATTCTCTCCAGACCTTCCGGGAGCAGCGGTGTTGTTTTGGGATGGAGGAGGAGGAGGCCGCAGGAGCGAAAGGGGTGGGTTCCTCGGGGTGGAGAGGGCGAGAGCCTTTCTGGATTCGAGAGAGGAAGATTCCAACCGTTCGGGCGTTCCGAGGGCAAGAGGGGAGACGGGTAGAAACTCAGCCAGAGACGGAGACTCGGAGAGACAAAGGGGGCGTGAGAGACCGCGCCAGGGAGTGAGGCGGGGCGGCGGGCGAGGCGGCCACGGCGGGCGGGAGGTGCGCGAGGTGAGGGAGGTGTGGGGGGCGTGGGCCGCGGGATGCTGCCGCCCGCTCCGCCTCGAGCTCCAGCTCCAGT